GTGTGTGTGTGTGTGTGTGTGTGTGTGTGTGTGTGTGTCTTAAAGTTTTCTGGTTTCTTTTACGGATCTCTGGGTCTCTGTACCTCTCTGAGATGTTTGTGTGTTTTACCAGGAGTTTACATTCTGTTTGTATGGAATTTCTGCCATTCCTGCTGAAAAAAACACTAGAAACCATAACAGAAATTCTGGTTTCACTAAAATACCATTACAAACCATCAACTTTTAACCATTAAACCCATTATAACTGTAGTGTGTTTTGGGACATGTTCCATTAGGATTTAGTGGTTTTATCAAGCCACCGATACAAGGCGACTCATTACCAGAGACCCACAGTTTACTCGAAACTAATTGACCCGTATGACTGGTTTTGTGGTCCAGGGTCACATATGTTGTTGTGCTACTGACTCTTGGCTCAAGATCACATTTCTGGATCCTTCTGTGGAAAAAATACAATAAAACAAGTTTTGCAGCAGGTTGGAGTACAGGACTACATTTCCCAGAATCCCCCTTCTCCTGCAGAAATGAGGGAGTGTCTCTTTAAAACTCTCCGTCGGCGTTAATTTCTCGCATTGCACAAAGTCCCCGTCACATAACGCGAGTTTCCATCTGTGTTCAGAGGCTAGTCGCTGCTACACGCCTGGGTTTAGCTCAGCCAGGGCTTGTTTACACATGCGACAGGCGGCTACGTCAAGTTCCTGACTGCTCGCTGAAGCAGCACGATGCCATTTTTTCACAGATATAAATTCTAATTAAACATTAAAGGTCGTTGTTGTCTTCAGCAGGCTATATTTGTTGATATCGATGAAAGTGATTAGTTTGTGTCGGGTCAGCGCAGGCAGTCCGCTGGATACCTATTCAGCGAGGAGGGGCGGTGACCGAGAGCACATGCCTTCGTTCTGAGCTTCGCCATTGGTCGTTCAGGGGGCCTTACGCGTATCCTGCTTTCTGATTGGCGGGCGCGGCTGTCCGTCAGTCTCGGTCCGCGCTGGTGTATATAAGCGCGCGGGGCTGCTGTGCTACAGCGCGAGATGGAGCTGCGCGAGCTCACGCACTTGTGAATGTTGGAGAGAGCAAAGTCTGTTTTTAGTCGTCACTATTTTAGAGAGTACGTGTAATATTTACAGTAGCTCAGTACGGGTTTGTACGCGGCTCAGAGGGCGCTTTATATAGTGTGCAGTGTGAGGTGTTTTTGTGTGATTTTCGCGCGCGTGTTTACTCACAGCTCGAGAAGGCGGAGAAACGATCGCGCTTAGTGTGTGTGTGTGTGTGTGTGTGTGTGTGTGAGAGAGAGAGAGGTAACGTAGGTGTGTGTTTGGGTCTCGCATTATTCATGAGCAGAGCGGTGGCTCCTCCTAGGGGGCGTGGTTATTCAAATTAGCTAGGCGTGGTGTTAGTTGAGTGGCAGGTGTAACACGTGGGTCACAAGCACATTAATGCACCAACTACACTGACTAGTCAAGTGAGTATAACCAGTTAACATGACTGAAGCATATTTTATTGGATTGTACTGTTTTTAATGTAAATAAACGAGGTGTGTTTAACTGATTTATTTAAAAATGTATCACCTGAATGTATTGTAGAATTGTTGTCTAGTGTGGATCTGAATGTCTTTTAAAGCTCTTTGTTAACTGTGTACCTTGTGTACTTTATTCTGTTGTGTTTTCCTGCAGTCGTGTTATTAGAGGCGGATGGATGTCTGTTCAGAGTGAGCTTCCAGCCGCCGGCGGGGCGAGTTTGCACACCCGTCCTCCGCCCGTCGCCGTCCAGGATGAGCGGAGCGCTAACATGGTGCTAACCGAGCTCGCCGCCAATCACGTGACCCCTCAGGACGAGCCGATCAAAAACGGCCTGCAGTCGCGAGGCGAGACGCAGACGCAGAAACTGAGCAAGCGGCGCTACACTGTGAGCGTAGGCTTCAAACACCCGAGCCTCAGTAAACGCCGACGCCGCGCAAACTCCGAATGCGACCCGGTGCTGCCCTCCAACTTCCTGCTGGGCGGGAACATCTTCGACCCGCTGAATCTCAACAGCCTACTGGACGAGGAGGTCAGTAAGGCGCTCAACGCCCAGACGCCCAAATCCTCGCCGCTTCCCAGGAAAAGCAGAGACCCGGTGGAGATCCTGATTCCCAAAGACATCACCGACCCGCTGAATCTGAGCGGCCGCGGCGGAGACTCGGCGGCGGGCGTGTTAGTGTCGCCCTTGAAGAGCCGGCGCCGACATCGCAACCGACACCATCCGGGAGCGCCCGCTGAGCCTTCCGATGGCGAGAGGTCAAAGGTCAACGACGGGTCGGGCGTGTCCGTTAGTATAAAGGAGTCACCATGTTCTTACGAACTCAACACGTCAATCAACTGCCGTGACGAAGTGGTGCCACCCATTCTCCCGCGGCGACGGCCACGCCCTTCCTCGTTAAGCTCCGCCCCCCAGGCGCAGCCGTCCAAACACAGGAAGCGCAGACAAACCAACAGCCGCTCGGACCGCCTGTCCATCACGCCGACTAAGCAGACGGTTGTGCACAGCCAGGCGTTCCACACTCCTGTTGTGGGCGGAGTCAGCGGAGCTCCGCCTCCGGGGGTGGAGAAAACCCCACACAAGACACCCCGCACTTTCCAGTACGGAAGCTACAGCCGTTACTACGGTTACCGCACGCCGTCGCCGAGCGCAGACCCACGCTTGGCCGTGTTTAGACCCGAGTGGTTCCGTGGGAAGAAGGTCCTGGATGTGGGCTGCAGCATGGGTCATGTGACCCTCGCCATCGCCGGGTACTGGAGCCCAGAGCGCATGCTGGGCGTGGACATCGACGGAGCGCTGGTGCGCATCGCCCGGCAGAACCTGCGCTACTTCCTGTCCGAGATGACCGGGTCGAGAGGCGGGCCGCCGGGGGAGGGGTCAGAGGTCAGAGGTCAGATGGGGTTGGCGCCTCTGATGGGCCTGGATCTGGAGCGCGGTCAGGCGTTACGCAGGTTTCCTGTGTCCTTCACGCGCTGCCGCGGACCCATCGCCGCTCCTCCCATAATGCCTCACTCCCCCGGCCTGTTCCCCGGCAACGTCTACTTCCTGAAGGTGACGTGAGAGTGTGTGTGTGTGAGAGTGTGTGTGTGTGAGAGTGTGTGTGTGTGAGAGTGTGTGTGTGTGAGAGTGTGTGTGTG